CCTACTAGAGAAAGATCTTAAGATATTTCCAAGATAGAGCACTGCTAATGTTCATCATAAGATCATTTGTAACATGTTTGTAATTTTCTTAATGTTCATAATAAGATCATTTGTAACATGTTTGTAATTTATTTTCTTAAACACATTTTTTTTTTTACTTGAAGCAAAGGAATTTGAATTATAACTCTTAAAGTCAGAGGTGGCTATGGAACTATCATTAGACTAATCCCCCAATTGCTGGCTCTTTATTAAAATGTAGTAATACATACAATTATAGTATCAGAAACCAAAAAACATATGGTATCCCCATAGAAATTTTGATCAGTATATATATATATATATATATATACACTTCTAATTCAAATATGATCTTTATTGGCTATCAAAAAATTAATACAATATGCATGCAACCCATCTAATCTTTCCCAGATGTTAAGCTCATTCAACACCAACCTTCACCTTTTCTTTTATTATTTATGACTTTGCTAATGCAACCCGTCTATCACTTCAAATTATGGCCGAATTATATGTGATAGATAAGGATGAAAAGTGCTCGAAGATACCGTTCGTGTTGAGTACCACAAACATAATAATAATAATTTTAAGAAAAACTTTTTACTAGTGATCACTACTACAAGTGCTTTTTAACATTGCTCAATAGATATAGAAAAAATGTAGTTCATGAATTGGGTAGGTGTACATACGATCACTCAAAGATTACAAGACATTAGTGGAAGTCATCAACATGATATGTACGTTGCAACTAATTGATAGTCAGTCGATGAAAGTAGGTGAAGTCTACGTTTTCTTCTTGTTGGAATCGTGATCATGTATTTGTCTTTTTTTTTTCTTTTTTTTTTTTTTTTTTTTTTTTTTTGGATTTTTTTTTTTTTTTTTTTTTTTTTTTTTTTTTTTTTTTGGGGGGGGGGCTATCTTGTTATTTGTAACAAGATTTCGTTTCTGGAAATGTCTTATTTAGTTATTTATTTATGTGGTCTAGCATGCTCCTTTTGTCAAGCTTGACAAACTTGGAAATTCAGTATAACTATGTGATCTGTATGTGACTAATGCATTCGGCTTTCTGTGATTGATTTATTCTTTTTTTTTTTTTTAAGGAAAAAAAAAAAAATGAATGCACTTCGCGAGGTCAGTTGTTAACCGGTGGCACTGTTATAAATATCAGTTATATTGATGATATTAATATGGCAAGTTACTCTATTAAATGTGTTATTATTTTTGTAAATTAACCCAATTGTTAATAAATGAAAGTCTTAGATCCTATCCGAGCCCGTGCTCGGCCAAAAGATGGAAACTCAAGCGTCATTAAGGAGTGTAGCAGTCGTTGATTAAAGACATTCAATGAACAAGGATTCGAGTAAATTAATTATATGATTGGTTATAACACCCTAAATACGAAGGGTTTCATTGTAATAGATGAATAAAAATTTATAATGAATGAAGTAAACTCGATTCAATCCTAATGCATTCTAAAATACCTTCAAATTAAGAGGAAGGATTAGGGACACAATTTCAAATACAAAGCCTCGAGGCAATTATACTGGACTCTGGTTTTTACTCGTTTATTGTATTTAAGGTTTTCTTTTTGTTGTCCTTTTAAGTTTGGCTTAACATTCTTGATTGTTTTGCTTGTTTGATCTTAATTTCCAGTTCAAGGATGCTAAATTAGGGTTGGATGAAATTTTGCTCAAAGACGAGTATCATTTTTAAGTCTAGTTATTTATCTGCACTATTTTTTTATAAATAAATTAGGCTCAAATCTTTCCATTGAATTAGATGTTTGAATGCCAACTCTTTAAAAATGATATTCTTCTAATTCACTTTTAGTAAATAATGGGGCATTGTAGACCAACGAGACCCCCACTAAAGCCTGAAAAGTCAAGCATTATATATTGGACAGGTGCTTTGAGTACAATAGTACTGTGAGTTCTTGAATTATGAGTATTTTAAAACTTTGATTCATGAACGTTTTTTTTTTAGCAAATTATTCCGTGAATATTATTAATTTTTTCACAGTTTGATCCCTGACACTTAAATTGATCAAGAGTTTAGAAAATTTAACAGAAATAATCATATCTATATCGTACAATAACAAAAAATTGTACATAAATACTTGCATTAATTGCAAAATGCTTTAATTTTCAAAGACTTTGAACAACAATGAAGATAACGCTTTTCACTTGATGTAAATGTTTTTGTAAAATTTTAAGTTATCATACATGAGCATCTAATTACCTTTGTCAATGAAAAAGTGTTGTTTGATTGGGTGGTTGCCTAACCTTTTTTTAATTTAAAAAAGTTGAGATAATTAGTTTTAGGATTTGAACTCAACCTTATAATGAAGACGTCAAATATAATTTACCGTTAGATTGTTAGATTGTGCTTGCGATCATTGAATGGTTTCTTAATTTGATCATGCCATGAAATTTTTTATGGAAATCTATGAAAATTGAAATCAGAAGAAAAAATGCATTTTAATAGGAACTAGCTACTAAGTTGTGGGGAACTATGATTTGAATCATGGTTCATAGTTCGTTACAGTATTTTCTCTCACAAAAAGTACACGTAAATCGAAAATGATTCTAATTCATGAACCAAACAGTACAAATCAAATCAACCAATAGAGATTGAGATGGGTTGACTCATACGAATTAGGAAACCAAAACATTGTAGTCATAATTAGCAGATTAATATCAACTATCCATGTTAATTAAATATGACCATTGATTTGTAATGATAATTAGTGGATGATTATTGACTCGTACTATGTTAATCATATGTGATCACAACGAACCGTGCGCAAAAAAGTAATCTAACTTGCGATATTTAGCAGATTACTATGGACTCACGCATGTTAATTATATGTTAATTGTAAATGATTAGTAGAGGATGATTAGGGAGAGGGAAAAAAAAAAGCTATGCAAAATTTTCAAAAAGCGTAAAGTATACAAAAGACATAGCAAACACTACTCGCGTTAGAAGCCGCAATTTCTTACTTGACCAATACTTCTGAAATTAATCATTTTGAACGACAACAGTGCACAGACTTTCAGTCATGCACACATACAAAAATATATACGACCGCGCTTTGGCCGCATGGAAAAAGAGCAAATATATATGTGTATATATATATATATATATATATATATATATATGATACATTCCAATTAGTAGGTCAATTGTGTTAAAATACGCCCCAACACAACTTTACAAGAATTCTTTCTTTCAAAAAAAAAAAAAAATTACTTGCTAGTTCTTTTATTTTTCTTTTTTCCTTTTCTTTTGATGGTTTCATGCCTACGTTAAAAGAAATTGGCAACTAGCATTCATAAAGAAATTCGGTTGTTGGCAAAATAATAACTGAAATTTTAGGGCTTATTCTTTTAAAGTGTGACTTGAGTGTAGTTTTTGAGTTGAATTTGAGTTATAACTTGAGTTGAAGTTGTAACTTGAATAAAGTTGAGTAAAATTGAATAAAATTGAAACTTAAAAGAATGTGAACTTAAATAAAACTGTAACTTGAGTTTAAATTTTTTCTGAGTTTTATTGTAAAAGAACAATCCCTTAATTTTTTATTTCCTTTCTAGAATGGTTTTCAAGACTCTTTAAATGACGGCCTTAATTCATTTTGCTGGAAAAATTAATGGCCTGTTTGACTTTCATGAAAATGCCAACTTTTTTATTTATTTAAAAAATCTGTTAATGCCGAGCAAAACATAAAAAATGTCAACAAAATAGAGGGAAAAAAAAGGACAGAGAGAGAAAGAGAGGAGAGGGATGGACCAAGTCAGTCAATTGGGAAAACAATTACCAACCAAGTCAGCCACTAGTATTCTATTCAAAAAAAAGGGAAAAAAAAAAAAAAAAAGCCAGCCACTAATTCGATTGGTTTGAAGACTTGGAAAAAGGGGGTTGATAAAAAGATAGGCCGATTATTTGTGAGACTGAGAGCTCTTATATAGTTAGAGAATCGGTCAAAAGTCTAACCAACTAAAAATAAAGTATTTTTTCCAGGTTGCTTCCAAACTAATGGCACGGAAATACAGTCTATAATACAGTAATTAATGAATGATTATGTCGTAACAAATGTTTTCAAACATATATATGGGACATCAACTATGACATTGCCGTTACAATAATGCAGCTAATTAATATTAATTTCGCTTGAAATTTGAATAATTATGTTGTTGGATTGACCTTCCAAACAAAAAGGATTAAAAAAAAAAAGAGAGAGAGAAGAGATTATACTTGGTGACCATTTACCATTGCTACGTAGGGTCGTGTGACATATACTTTTTTTTTTTTTTTTTTTAAATCGTGTGAAATATACTAGATACCCGTATACCAGCCATTAGGATAAAAGGAATATTTTATGTTCAGATTGAAACAAGAACTTTAGGACAACCCAACCAATAGAATTTGAATTCCTCCCAAAATTCAAAACCCATTCTGGATTGAACAGCTATTTTTTATTGGGATGTCTTTCATCTAATTTGAAATTTTCTCCACAAAAAAAAAAAAAAATGGAGATTCTAACTTGGAAAAACAGAAATCTTGACAAATACTCCTTAAAAGTGCATGTATCTTGATTTTTACCCCAGGCTCTTCATTAATATCAAATAACTATATTAATAAAATGGTATTAATCAAGAATAAAAGGTACAAATATAGACCAATGCACTTTTTTAAGGGTAAGTTCAATAATTTTATTTTATTTTATTTTTATTTTAATGTAATTTTAAACAGATTTAACGGTTGGAAACACATTACCAGCAGGGGGATTCCAATACATATATCTATATTCAGGAAGCAAGACACGTTTACATGTAAACCAAGTCAGTCAATTTTCCATGGTCTAACAAATCACAAATCCTAATATCCATCTCCCCCAGACGCATTGCGGCTCAGTCCTATTGACTCTCCTCTATATAAACTATAATCCTCCAAGCCAAAATTCACACTCATAAGCGAAGCTCCAATTTGGTTACAAAAATTCAAACAAACATTGGGATTTCTTCTTTTGATTTGAATCACAACATATCTTTTAAGTCTCAAGAGCTTCACAAAAATGTTACTAGAGACCCCAAAGAGTGACAACTCATTCAAGCCAAAAGGAATAATTTCAAGCCTCTTCCATAATGCATCACCCCAAAATGCCTTCTCTCCTTCACATTCATTGCCAACTTATTACTCTCCTTCCTCTCCTAAACAACATACATTTTCCGTAGCAATGATGGAGGAGAACATTGACAATGCAGAAAAAACAATCACCAAATGGGATCTAACATCTTCCTCATACACCAAACTCACCTTTCTCTTCCAAGACAGCAGGAAAGATGCCACGGAGTTCATCAAATCCGTCAAGGAGTTGAGACGGGCCATGCACTATCTGGTGGCTGAAAACTCTGCGTCTTCTAAGCTTGTACTCGCTCAAAAACTGATGCAAACAGCCATGAAAAGGCTAGAGAAAGAGTTCTACCAGATACTCTCCAAGAACCGTGATCATCTTAACCCCGAATCCATTTCAAGCAGATCTTCGGTGGGGTCTAGCAGTTTTGGAGAAGAAGACGATGCTCAATCAAATGACGAGTTGGAGATTCTAAGCGAGTCAGTCACAGAGGTGAAAAAAGTCTCAGAAATTGCCATGTCTGATCTCAAGTCTATAGCTGATTGTATGATTGTCTGTGGCTATGGCAAGGAGTGTGTGAAGATATACAAAGTCATCAGAAAATCGATAATCGACGAGGGGTTGTATGGACTCCGAATCGAACGGTTCAAGTCTTCCCAAGTTCAAAAATTGAATTGGGAAGCTCTGGTGGGGACAATCAAGAACTGGATAAATGCCATAAAGATTGCTGTGAAAACACTCTTCAATGGAGAGAAGATTCTATGTGATCATGTGTTTTCGGCGTCTGTGACAATAAAAGATTCTTGCTTCTATGAAATAACAAAAGCAGGAGCAATTGATCTGTTCAAATTCCCTGAACTAATTGCAAGGAGCCACAAGAAATCACCCGAAAGAATCTTCCAGCTAATGGAGCTCTATGAAGCATTCTCCGAGCTTTTGCCCGACATAGAATCAATTTTCAGCTCCGAATCAACCTCAGCTATTAGATCACAAGCCCTTTCATCATCTCTCAAACTCCGAGATTCCATCCCCTCGATCCTACAGGAATTCGAATCGAAAATTCAGAAGAATTCCTCGAAAACACTGATCTTTGGTGGAGGAATACACCCGGTAACCCAATCGGTTGTGGACTACATATCCTCCCTAGCGGATCACAGTGGGGTTCTTTCCGGCATCCTGGCTCACTATCCCCCACCGGGGAATTCACCACTCAATGAATCTTTCTTTGAGAGCCTAACAACCTCCTCCGATAGTCCAGCACCGGATGCAGCCTCGGTCCACCTAGCCTGGCTCATATTAGTCCTATTGTGCAAGCTGGATTGCAAAGCTGAGCTTTACAAAGATGTGTCTTTGTCATATCTTTTCCTTGCCAACAATCTCAACTTCATTGTTGAGAAAGTGAGAACCACCAACCTAAGGTTCCTACTTGGTGATGAGTGGATATCCAAGCACACAAAGAAGGTTCATCAATACACTTTGAGCTACGAAACCATGGCGTGGACAAAGGCGTTGTCGTCTTTACCAGACAATAACGCCTCTTCTCCGTTGTCAACTGAGATGGTAAAGGAGAGTTTGAGGAAATTCAATGCAGCTTTCGAAGAAGCGTACAAGAAACAGGCCTCGTGGATTGTTCAAGATGGGAAACTGAGAGACGAGTTGAAGGTCTCGATAGCAAACAAACTCGTGCCCAAGTATCGACAATTCTACGATGCAAACTTGGATGTGCTATGCAGTGAGGAGAAGAATTCTTTGCAGTTGTTGGTGAGATTCTCTCCTGATGATTTGGGGAACTACTTGTCAGATTTGTTCCACGGCGCGTCTAACTCGGGTAGTTCCAAGTCGTCGTCATCTTCATCATTGTCTCCACATAGATGTCTGTCCCGTTGAACTCTCATGTAATGAGTGCAAAATGTGTACAAAATTTCTCAACCTGCAGTAACTAAATAAAACATTTCTTGAGTTGACTGGTTGAGTTATAATGAACTGTGAAATCCTCAACATTCAGGAAAGAAAATAATGAATTTTAATATGATTATTTTGGAAAATTTTGTTCATATAAGAACAGAATTTGATATTCTGACTCCGAGTCACAGACTATTAACTGGTAAGGAGGTGAACAAATTTATCATAAGCTATAACTTGGCTAATCAAATTGTGAACAAGAAAATAAAAACATTTGGTGCCTCTAATTAATGATAAAAGTAAGAACCATGAGAAAAATAGGAACAGGCTTAGACTGATTAGTCTAGCGGCATAGAGAGTTCAGGTTGGTGGGGCTTTAAAAGGAGTTGCATATTCGATCTCGTCTTGTATTTAAAAAAAAAAAAAAAAAAAAAAAAAAAAGAGCAAGTGAAAATCAAAGTAAAAAGGTTTGGAATTTCTTTAACTTACTAAGAAGAAGAGGACAACCTACAAAATGTAATGTTAATGTTCGCCTCTATATGGACTGACAACCTAACCAATTTAAAGAAGAATTGGAAAAGAATCTGAGGCTGCTTCCATACTATTCTAGCTATATTTGGATAAGGTAAAATTTTATTTACCAAATTACCAGCAATCAAAGGAAATAATAAGCAAGTACTTGGACAAAAGCTCTTAAACGCATTACATTTCATGACAACATATTAAATTCTGTGTCAGAAACCAACTCAACAAAACATGATAATGGGCTCGGTTTAAAACCTTTCCTTAAAAAATTGCAAAAGGACTTACCCAAAAACAATTACGATTTTCATTCTTCATTAGGATTTCTTAAAGATAGATCCAAATCCGGTTTAATATTTGGTTTATAAATTTGAACAGAAATTTACAATAGAAGTTTAATTTTTCTTGAGAGAAAATACCATAATGAAAATATTTGAATTATAGTTCAAATCTATAAAATAAACAGGTTATTCATACATCACTTTTATCTATAAATTAGACTCAAATCTTTCTACAGAAGTGAGTATATTGGAATACCAACTCTGTGAAATATAAGCCAGCTCTGGAGCCTCACATCAAATCCAAACGGACGGAAGAAAAATCTCACATAAAAGAGACACATGCATGTAAAATTTGGAACACGAAACAGAATGACAACGTTAAGTAGCGGCTCAACCTTTAAGCCATTTAAGCATTGCTTAAGGCCCCCAATTAATTTTTGCTTTATACATTTAGATGTTTGTTTTAGTGATATGAAATGTGAAGAATCTTTTTCTTTCCAATATGTATTCAAGTTCAAGTTTCAAGTACTCTTTTTTTTACCAACAATTGTTAGACGCATGCTCTAAATGCATAGGGCTTCTTTTAACTGCCTTCAAATGCCTTTTCATTTTTATAAATAAGCTGCCACTTAAATCTTTTTTTTTTTTTTTTTAAAAAAGCTTTGATTTTCTTTCTTACTCCTTTCTTGTGAGCTTATTGATAATTATTGTTTGAATTTCATAATAACTATTTTTTGCTTTTTGTTATTGCTATCGATGTTTTGTATTGAGTCGCTTGGTTTTTGAACCTAATTAGTTATAAATTTTTTTTTAAAAAAAAAATAATTTTTTTTTTTTTTTTAAAAAACGAGAAACTATTTTACTCCTTGTCCCCTAAAGTATACCTTTTCATTGTCATTGATATTTAAGCCTAATTCGTTAGATGAAAATATATATTAATAGAAATATGAACAAATATCTTGAATTTTTAAAAAGGCCCGTTTAAAATTATTGCTTAAGGCCCCCAAATTGCTTGAGCCGCTCCTTTACCTAAACCAGAAAGATAAAGGATAGCCACAGATTATATAGGTTTTACCGATTATAATTTATCGTGATAATGAAGACATAGAATTGAAACTCAATAAGTACTGTGCCAACAAGATTTATAAACAAACCCATTTTGCTCATAGAAATGAGGACCACCGTGACCATAATCAATTGCTGAAAACAAAAAATGTTTGATGGAGAAGTATAAGCCACATATTGTATGATCCCAAGCTGGAAACAGAGTCAACGTATGGCTGTAGGGTAAGAAAATCCATTTGGTGGTTTTGGTCAGCTTCATGAAACTTAAAATATCACTCTTTGTGGTTTCTAAAGAAAGCCATGACAAGGATTTGTAAGTTGAATATTTTGCAAATCTTGGTTTGATACATCATCTGAATTTTGTTATATTTTTAGTTTGACTTTCGCTTTTGTAAATGATACAAGTTTCAAAGTTTTCGAGGAATATATTTTTTTTTAGAAAATATTTTATAGTTTTGACTCGAAACTCTCACGATTGTCTGAACTCTTTCCGAAGCAAAGTGTGAATCAGATAAACTGCTTCTATAAAGTTGTGTTAAAAGGGCCTTTGGTAATGCGTATTGATTACATGAGAGTCATATACGTTCTAACACATTAATTACTACATGCAAATTTGTAGAACATGGGGTATAAACATTTACTATTACTGATAAGGGAAAAGACGTCAGAATCATCACAATGGAGAAAAATGACTACGAGAGAGGATGTGCATCCACATTTTAAAGTCCGAAGAAATAATGAGATTCCACTTTGCTATATGAGAATTCTACGGTAGGGTATCAAAAAAACTACTAATCAATTTTAAGTCGTTAAATCTGTATCAGATCCTATTAATTTTACCTAGTGATATGATTTATTTTGCGGAGATTTTGATTCACACTTAACATTCAAAAACATGCACTACGAGTATCCTACTGCAGAAAGTTCCTTTTTATATTCTGCAACAGAATTGTAAATTGCATTTGTTGAGCCTGGGGTTAGAGGCTTGATCTGTTGAGTTGATGGGGCAGCTACATTTATAATAAAAAGATAAAGGAGATCTTAAGTACCAAAAGTAATTTTCGCACCAAACATTCTAAATATTATTGGTCTAAAAATATTGAATAGAATGGCAATTTGATGTGTTGTGTTTAATTAAGCATGCCACTAATTCTCTTGGAATAAGACTTTTATTTGCCAAAGTGGGGAATAGTGATGAGTACGTAGCACATGCACAACTTAATTTCAGAGGTAAAACTGCAAGGGCTGGTATAATTCTGTTGTGTGCCAATTCTTGTGGCCTACATCACTTGTCCCAAAACTTCCATTACAGACTGGATTTATTTATCATTTTGTTGGAAATGCAATTCTTGAGAGACTAGATTCCTTTCATCATTATAAGAAAGAAAGCTATTCCACAAGTCTGTCTTTACAATATGAGCCAACAAATATATACTAATATTCTTTCTCAAATCTCTTTTCTCTGATCCCATGGAACTACTTTTGGCAACCTGTTTAGTACCTCTTATCTATTCGTTCATTTGCCTCTATAACCTTGCTTTGCAATGGAGAAACTCAAGCTGTTACATGTTGGCATTCGAGTGCTACAAGGCGACGGAAGACAGGAAGCTCGGAACAGACACTTGTGTGAAGATCATCCTAAGAAACAAGAACCTTGATCTAGAAGGATACCGCCACATGTTGAAGACCATCACGAGTTCTGGACTTGGGGAGGAAACTTACTGCCCAAGAAATTTCACCGAAGGCCAGGAAGAATGTGCAACGCTCTCCGACGCCCTCCTTGAAATGGATGATATTTTCTTCTTCACGCTAGACAGGCTCTTCAAAAGAACAGGAGTATCTCCCTCGCAAATCGACATACTTGTCGTGAATGTGTCCTTGTTTTCTCCCATGCCGTCTCTGACGTCACGGATAGTGAATCAGTACAAGCTGAGGAATGATATCAAGGCTTTCAACCTCTCTGGAATGGGCTTCAGCGGGAGCTTGGCTGCCATTGATCTAGTTCAGCGCCTTTTCAAGACGTACAAGAATAAGTACGCCATTGTTGTGAGCACAGAATCCTTGGGGCCTAATTGGTATTGTGGCAAAGACAAAACCATGATGTTGGCAAACTGTCTTTACCGCTCAGGAGGGTGTTCTCTGCTCTTCAAAAACCGGAGAGCTCTGAAACACAGAGCCATTCTCCGAGTAAGAAGCATAGGTAGAACTCATCTAGGTTCGAGCGACAGGCCTATTGGTGCTCTTTTCAAGCGGAGGATGAGAATGGATACCGTGGTTTTCAACTCACAAAGAACATATCAAGAGTTGCCGCCAAAGCTCTTGCAATGAACCTCAAAGTCCTGCTGCCGAGAGTTCTTCTGCTGAGGGAGTTGCTTCGCTATGTCACACCCTCTCGATTTAGATCAACAAAACAAAAGAATAATCCGACTCATGGTTTGAATCTCAAGATGGGAATTGATCACTTTTGCATACCGCCTATTAGTACCGACGTGGTTGATGCTTTTGGCAAAGGCTTGACATTGAATGACTATGATCTTGAGCCTACTAGGATGGCGCTTCACCGGTTTGGGAACACATCGGCGGGTGGACTTTGGTATGTTTTGGGGTATATGGAGGCTAAGAAGAGGCTTAAAAGGGGAAACAGACTTCTGATGATAAGTTTTGGAGCTGGTTATGAGTGCAATAGTTGTATGTGGGAGGTAATGAAGGACTTGAATGATGCCAATGTGTGGGAAGATTGCATTGAGAGTTACCCTCCTAAGACACTCACCAATTCTTTCATGGAAAAGTATAGTTGGATCAATGATGAATGTCGTAGCTTTGTGAGGTATTGTTTGTTATTGTAACAATTGTCGTATAGATGCTCACAGGGCAAAGTTTTCCTTATAGTTTCTTTTGAAGGGTTGTTTTGATCTTTCTTTCTTTCTTTATTTCTTTTTTTCTTTCTTGCTTGTATAATTTGAGGTATTGTTTGTTATTGTAACAATTGTCAAAGGGATTGATGTGTGGCATAAACTTAGGTAATAATATTGTTTTCAACAAAAATTCTATGCTTTATCAATGTGAATTGCAAATTTGGTTTCTCCACTTTCCTGAGTACCAATATGCTATAGTCAATTAACATTTTTCTAAAACACTCACAATCTGAACTCCACTGCACTAAAGCATAAAATGCTTATATCGTACAAGTCAATGCATATAGAAAAAGCAAGTCTATAGCTCAACACTTCAACACTAGGGGAGGACTGGAATGGAGGACTGCTAAAGGGTTCGGGCCAGGATGGAGACAACGTCATGCCCCCGAGTAAGGGGCGGGGGAAGCACTCTCTGACCCAATATAAATATTGTAGGAAAAAAATATATATATTTCGTTACAATTTTGTCGTGTTTTAATGAGACTTTTTATGGCTCTAGTGCTGAAATTTAGATTGATTAGGATTGTTATTTTGTGGCGCAATGTTTGATTTCTAATTGATTTTATTGTGGATTTCAACTTCATTTTTCGTTTCTAACTTGCTAAAAATTTTCATTTATGATGAATATCATAGTGGGGATTAACATGGTGTGGGGAGCCAATCCTTCTTAGGACAGGATAATGACAGAAAAGCTTTGCAAGGTCCCGCTCTATTGCCATCCCTTCTCAATAATACTCAGTAATAATATCTATTTTTCCAAACAAGGTGTCTAGAAATTCAGCTCTAAGACTCTAGTCAATACCTCAATCACTTCACCACATCTTTTTATTTACTACTACAGCAAACTGTAAATATATTGTGATAAATTCCGAGACATTATTCACACGAACTACCTTTTGTACTAGCTATGATTAAAAGGCAGCAATTGAATATGGTAAATGACAAAATATTTTTAGTACATGAGGCCCCAATGACCCTTCCATGCTTTTAACGTGAGCGACGTACTACAAAAATGTGGCTGGCATGTCTGATAAGAAATGCATTTAGAAAGGGTCAAAACGGAATGAAGATTGTACATTTGCCCAAGACTTAAAAAGAAACTCTAAAAGAGGGAAAAAAAAATCTGATTATGCAGGTTTTTGTTAAATTAAAAGAAAATTCTTGCTCTTAAGTTTCCCAACCAAATCTGTCCCGTTGATAAATGCAGATTGGCCCACTAAATTTAAAGATACAAAGAATGAAAATAGAACATGCCCATCTAATGTAAGTTTCCTAATACAGACAACAGTCCAACGCTTTCTTTTGTTCATTGTTCTTTTGGGAATTTTCCCAGTAAAACCTATCCTTTTTAACTATCCTTAATTATTGTTGTTCTAACCGTAAGATTAAATTTTTAATGGAGTGATCTATAATTGTAGCAGTTCTGTGTCACATGCAAATTTTAAACGTGGACACTTGTGAATCAAGTCGTTGAAATCATAATCTTAAAGTTAGAACAGTAATAACCACCACTAGTTAAAAAGAATAAATCTTTATTTTTTAAAAAAAAAAATTCTTTTCCTTTATTTGTTTCCTTTTTGGCCATTAAGGATTCTGAATTTCTCAACTGGAAGATATTAATCATTACGACGCTACTATATGATGAGAATAAATCGTCCGTGCACAACTCGTAGTGGTGATCACATATTCTTCAGAAAAAAGGAAAAAAAAAAGTAGAAGAGGAGGTCAGGGTTGAGAAGTAAAAACTTGCTTGAATTGGTCGATTTTTTGTTTTTGTTTTTGTTTTTTTTTTGTCTTTTATTTTTAACTGAAGGTCGATAAATTGTATGTATATGGTCTTGTTGATACCTCAAAGGATGTAAAAGTGCAATAACACGTTGAGGTTCTTAAATTAGTTTTAATGTGTCCCTTCAGAGACATCCAATAAAATTACAACGATATTGGGAAGATTATAACATGATTTCTGCACAAGAATGACACATACAAATTTAAAAATGGTCTCAAATTAATTCTAGCAACAACAATTTTATATTCTACCACTTCCCCACACTAGTAACCAAGACAATTGGTAATCATGTTGATAAATATGAGTCATTATGCAATAACATCATAGTGCGGAGAGATATTTTCCGCAACAAAAATATATACATTCATAACATATATAAAAAGTCAAACTCTTTTTTCATCCCTCTTTCTCTATTTGCCACTTGTCAACTCCATTTTTTTTGTCATTTTTTTTAATTTTACTTATTATAATTCTTTCTTTTTGCTTATTTCTTTTAGAAACTCTTCTACAATTTATTTATTACAACGTGTTATTTTAGAATATTTTTTCTCACTTTACTCCTACGGATACTGGGGTGGGACCTCCATAGCATCGGGTGACCAAGTATGCAATTAATAAATTCTTCCAAATGTGTACATACTCGATGTTTGTTTTCATTTTTTATTAAAATTACCTTTATATTGTAATTATTTTCCGAGCAAAATTTATAATGGGACATACATTTTTGTTCCATCGATATGAATTAATGTTTTAGTCATTATATTAACTTTTTAATGGTATGATATGGACTACGAGCAATTTTGTATTGCTCGTTATAAATTTTTAATCTAATTTATAATCTTTACATAATAATCTATATTTTTAATCTAATAAACATAAAAGAGATAAATCTCTTTTCTATTGGGATGACATGTGGCAACCTCTTCTCTTACTTTACTTTTGTCCACTTTTTTACTTTTTTATCTTTATTATTTTATTTTTAAAATATTTTTTGTTATTTTTTTGTAAATGTTTGTTTTACATTTCAATTTTTTGTGTGTTTTTAAAAATATTTTTTTCTCACTTTATTCGTATGAAAGTAATTTTTTTTGCATATATATGTTCTTATTTTATTTTTGTCAATAGATAAAATAATTTTTTGTGTGTTTTAATTTTCTCACTTTATTCGTATGAAAGTAAAATATTTTTTTCTCACGTATACAAAGCCCATATGCTCAGAACAAGTTTTTCAGCCTATGGGGTACACAATAGATCCATACTTACCAATGAGTTCTTTAAGCATAACCCATATTCCATTAGGTTCATTCTTAGCTCTGAATTGTTGATTTGAGTTTTTAATTTGAGTTGAGATGTGAGTTTATGTGAGAGCTTTTAACTGTAGTAGAAAAAAAATTAGATGTGATTTTTTATGAGAACTTTTAACTATAACGAAACTGAAATTGAAAACTCGAATTGGTGAAATGAGCGAGACCTTAATTATTAGGGAAAACTACTAAACTTACGTTAGAGTACATGAGTTTAAAATTTTACACCTTACTTTAATTAATTAATATTTTTTTAATTAATATAATTATTTAATTAAGAAAGATATTAACCGAGAGTTAGACTAAAAAACTCAGATCCATATACTCAAACAGATATTTGTCTCCTTTTCCCTAGAGCTTTCAGATCCTGCCGGCAAGAACCTCTGCTCGTGGTTAGATTCTCACGGCCCTCGACATTCGCAGCTCAAATAGAGAGAAAGAGATCCGAGGACCGAGAGAGAGGTTTGAGACTTGAGGCTTGTTTAGTTTATTTATGATAACTTTTGAGTTTATCAATGATAAATTATAACTTATATATTAACTTGTTGTTTAGTACATCACTGATAAAACATAGCTTATGTTCCATTGAGGTTCAATCTTAGACTGAAAACTTAATTTTCATCCAAAATAATGTTGCTTTAGAGGTGAAAAATTCATCACCATATATAGAGACAAATATTTAGTCTCTAAAAATAGGCTTTTATAGACAATTATTTTTTTTTTCCAAGGAAAATAGACAAAATTACAGTTAGACTCTAGCTAATACTTCTAGAGACATATTACGGCAAAATAAATTTTTGATCGTAGAATGTTATGGAAAAATTATTCAAGCATTTTCATAGGAAAAAAATGTCGCCGGTCCCCTGAGAGAATTGTTGTTGTTGTTGTTTTTTCTTTTTAATTTTTTTAGAGTTCTGGTCCTTTGGATTAATGGTTTTGCCACTATATATCCATATAGGGATGTGATAAGTCTTAGTCATGGTCAAATAACATGAAAGAAACCTTGAGAGAGTAAAGTGCCTGAAATACCATCGTATTTTTGTAAAACAAAAATATATCATATGTATGCTTATCCATCACCAATAATGACATACAACATTCTTTTTATAAGCTTTTTTTCCCAGAAATAATAATAAAAATAAAAATTTGGTTGCATTTGCACTTGATGCTGCCAAAGAATAGATATTCAAATCGCTTTTGGCAACAAACAAACACCAGAGCATGAAGTTGAAACATACTTATTTCATGAAGGTATACCTAATTTGATGAAAACCATAATTTTATAATTATATTATCACTATATATATATATATAGTGCTAATTAAGCCTAACGAAGCCAAAAGAATCATCGTTGATCCAACTATACTTCTCCATAAAAGGATTAGCAAGTGAGTAATTAACGCTCAAGGCGAACAAAGCCAAGATAATCATCGTTGATCCAACTATACTTCTCCATAAAAGGATTAGCAAGTGAGCTTGGAGGATAGCTCTCAATAATCCCTTTCCACACATTCAAATCATCCAAGTCCCTCATAACCTCCCACAAACAATTGTTGCACTTAAACCCAGCTCCAAAACTCATCATCAAAATCCTATCTCCTTTCTTGAGCCTCTTCTTTGCCTCCATGTACCCCAAAACGTACCAAAACCCGCCCGCCGAAGTGTTGCCGAACCGATGAAGCGCCATCCTCATCATCCAAGTCCCTCATAACCTCCCACAAACAATTGTTGCACTTAAACCCAGCTCCAAAACTCATCATCAAAATCCTATCCCCTTTCTTGAGCCTCTTCTTCGCCTCCATGTACCCCAAAACATACCAAAACCCGCCCGCCGAAGTGTTGCCGAACCGATGAAGCGCCATCCTCGACGGCTCCAAATCATACTCGCTTAACCCTAAGCTCATCCCGACCCCATCTATCACCGCTCGCCCACCGGGGTGGATGCAAAAATGCTCTGCCCCGGTCTTGAAATCCAAATTATTCGCACCACTACTCGTAAGTTGTGGATCGCCCTTATTGTTCGTGTTCCTAATTAGGTTAACAATCCAGTACCTTAGAATCTCCCTCACCGGCAATATTTTTGGCACGAGAACACGGAGATTCAGCCGCAACGCCTTCGCCGCTGCCTTCGTAAGCTTCTTCGTCAACCGAAACCCTTCGTGCCCCTTCTCGTCCTCCAACTGTATGCAACACTCGTACGCTTCGTCGTCAGCTCCGAGATGCGTCCGTACGAGGCATTTCAGCTTCAGAATCGCCTTCTTCTTTAGCTCGTTCTTGTTGGTGAACAGCATGGAGCAACCGCCGGACCGGAACAGGCAATTCGAGAGCATCATCGACTTCTCTTTGCCGCAGTACCAGTGGAGGCCGAAGGACTCGGTGCTGACGACAATAGCGTAGGAGTTTTCATGAGTCTTGAAGAGGTGTTGGACGAGATCTATGCCAATTATGCTGGCGCTGCAGCCCATCCCGGAGAGGTTATACGACATGACGTTCTCCCTCATCTTGTACCGGTTCACGATCCGCGACGTCAGCGACGGCGCGGGCGAGAAGAGCGAGACGTTGACGACGAGGATGTCGATTTGCGCCGGCGAGACCCCGGTTTTTGCGAAGAGGCTGTCTAGGGTTGTGAAGATTACCTCGTCCATCTCGGAGATGGCGTCGGTTAGCGTCGGAGACTCTTCGCGGCCCTCGAGGACGTTTTTCGGGCCGTAGCTCTCATCGCCAATGCCGGAGCTGACCATGGCGTTGAGGAGGAATCGGAGTTCGTCGACGCTGATGTTCTTGTTGCGGAGGACTATTTTGGCGCAAGCGTCGGTGCTGAGCTTGGTTTCTTCCAGCGGTTTGTAGCACTCGTAGGCGAGCATGTAGCAGCATTGGTGTTGTTTTTGGAGGAGGGATTTGGTAAGGTGCAAAAAGGCGTATGAAATTACCAAGAAAAGGGATATCGCCATGAGGAGCTCCATGACGAGAAAGATGTGATAATAATAGTAGAGTTGAAGAGATTATGTGGTGAGCTAGACTAGTGTAGTGTAAGTTATATACATAGAGGGAGAAAGATTTGAAAAGGAACTATTCACGATGAAGATAGATATCGACTTTCTTGACCCCAAAAAAAAAAAAAAAGTACTGTCAACTTTTGTTGGCAAAAAGAAAGTACTTTATATATATGATTTAAAGTGTATGTGAACATTACAGAGCTAGCAATTTTAAGCCCACCATAAAATATTTTTATGGGCATATATTTTAAATAAATCCTATAATTACATGACCACCTAGATTTGGTTTTTTTTTTTTTTTTTTTTTTGATAAATAATATGACCTAGTTTAATTTTGGGAGAAAGAGGTAAATAGGCTAAATTTTGAGATAAATTAAAATTAATAGGTCAATAGTTTACATAAGTTAATAAATAGGCCAAATTACTGTTTTCGTCCATAATTTGTCTGGTTATGAACCATAACTTGACAAATTATTCACAATTTGTGTCCATAACTTGTCTGGCTATGTACCATAACTTGACAAGTTTGTCCATAACTTATCTGGTTATTAACCATAACTTGACAAGTTATGGCCTATTAATTTCTATAACTAAAAATTGGCCTATATACTTTCTTAAGCTTTTCATATTGGCCTATTTTTTACTATTTCCGTAAAATTTTTAAACAAATTGCATACGTTATGTAAATTAAATTAGTTCTTAGTATAATAGATAACAGCATCATCGTTTTAATGAAAAAGAAAAAAGTGCTATTTTACTTGGTACTTTTATATTATTGAGTTTTAATGTGTATTGAGTATATGTCTAGTATTAGTTGGTGTGACTAATTTTTGTTGGCGATCGATCTTCATATATAGCATATGTTTCTTATGTCGATTAGAATACGTGCAAGGTATGAACTAGTGGTGCTTTACGATCAGGCGG